AGAAATTCAAGCTTTAGAAAACTATGCTATTAAATTTGGTGAATGAAGTTGTTAATGTAAGAAATTAAGTTTTCATAGGTTTATAGATAGGTTTAGGGGAATTGGGTTCGGCAAATTCAAGCATGCATCGACATTAATGTGAATATGCATTGGCAAGGTAAATTAAATAACAACAAACTAAAAAGCAAAAATTCTAAAAGGGAAAAAAATCTATTTAACTTAAAGACAATCTATGTTTAGAATAAAGTAACGGTTTATGCACTTGAAAACATCTTGAGTAACTTAGTGACTGACTATGTTATACAATGACAAGCTCTCCAATTTTTATGAATTTTTTTGTTAGAATACGCTCGAGGATCAGCTCTCCTTGGCATCAATCCATTACATGCGTATGCACTACACTGAAGCGATTGAGGTCTACAAGTCGATTTTACAAGAGCATACGTAAGTCGCAATTTATCTAGCCTTTTTGGAAATGGAGAAATTTCCCAATTCATTGAGGAATACAATATCTTTTTTGGATCTGGCTAATTATAAATTGTGCCGCCCAAACAAAAACCTAGTCTTCCAAACAGTGAAAGATTCTTTTTAGAAATATGATTGCGTTGAATGTCTACATGGCTATGTGTTATTACAAAATGGATTATTTTGATGTTGCACAGGTTTGTTGATATCACTCAAGTCCATTTTCTCCAAAAACATAAACTCTAAGCCTTTCAGGAAGTGTTAGCAGTATACCTTCGAAATTTTCCTGATAGTCCGGCTGCACTGAATCTGAAAGCTTGTATCACTTTCAAAACATACAACGGCAAAGCAGCTCTGGTAAGAATTTCTTGGTCTTTTAGTTTGGCTGAAAAATATATGCGCCTGACTAATTAGTTCTAAAAAATTCTTACCTCCTTTCTTCTAAGTGCTTGGTATCGCTAAAGAGAGAAGATAACTTTTTTTGCTCTAGAAATATATATATATATATATTGTGGTTGAATGGCTCATGGCTCCAATTAACAAATTAGTTAAAATGAGCTCAAATTACGAGAAAGATATGATTTGAAAAGAGCTA